GTGCCTTACTAGTAGTAACAAGAACGCTAGTAGTAACAAGTGCCACGCTAGTAGTAACAGGTGCCTTACTGGGAGTAACAAGAACGCTACTCGGAACAGGCATCCCTAAAACTCCTTGCCGTCCAAGCTGACGGACTTGCCAAGCCGTCACTCCGAGTGGCCCGAGCGCTCCCAAGCCCTTCTTTCGGGTCACCGCTGTTGGCGATTTCTGTCAATTGCAAATGGGTTCGTTACGACAAATGCATGTTTGAGGATGTTGATTTGTTTTGAGTCTGCGTTGCTTGGATGTTTGAGCAGTGAAGAGCCATAGGAGGTGAAGGTGCTTATTCTGTGGACAGATGGCTCTGCCTGGACAAGCAAAAAATACAAGGGATCTGTGATCTGTGTTCGATTTCCACATTGAAAATTGAGCCATCCGACGATTGTGCAACCATTGTGGTTTGCTCAAAGCCAGTTATATACATGAGTTGATCTATTTGAGCCATGCGTGATTTCAATTCTTGATTTCACCAGCAGTCAGTATGAGAGCCTTGCATTGGGCAAGCTGCGGAACCAACTACCTACCAAGTCTCCCGAGCAGTTCTACCCCAAAACGACTGTTTTCAAGAAGGTGCATATTTGGCAGATTTCTTCTGCAATGGCAGATTTGGAGGATTTGAGCTGGGCTGATGTTGAGATCTCAGTTTGAACTGGTTCACTGGTTCAAAGGCATCAAAGGCCAAGGGACCTGACGAAGAGAGAGGAAGAGAGAGAGGAAGAGAGAGAGAGAGAGAGCGTGCTCAACAAAATGGAGACGAACCTGTCTGAGACTCCGTTCTTTGTGGATTCCGATCGGTTCTTGTTCGGTCTGAGGCTAGAAGGCTTTGTCGAACAGTACTTGCTGAGATACCTTGGTGACTACATCTTTGGTGTTGTCGCTTGGCCAAAAGTGTTTTGATCGTAGAGAAGGGCTGGACAAGGTCGCTTAGTTGTCGTATATTCAGAAAAATATTCAATGGCCTCCAACCTAATAGCATCGCTTGTTGTCGTCTACTTTAAAAGGTCCTTTCGACATGTTTTCATCCTCTGGCCATCCTCGAAGCCGTTTCAACACCGAAAACCCCCGAGGGACCGTGTTGAAGCGGGACTCTTGCATGGAGTCTGAATGGTAATAGCGAACTGCAGCCACCTAACCGCAAACAAGACATATTTTGTAATCCATTTGTCACATCATGTTTCTATTTTTTTTTTCCCACATATCACATAACTTTGTCACATCTAACATTTCCTTTTGATTGTTTCCTTTGTGGTGAAAAGGCTGAACCCAAGTTCCTTTCAAGTTTCTCAATCTCTCCCAATTTGCTTCAAATGCTAGAAGAGTCTTCAAGCTTTCAATAAAGCAAGAAAGGAAATAAAAGAAATGAATAAGGCACCGAAAGCACTTAATCACTGAACCACATAGAAGTGACATTTACCTAGCTTTTCTTCTTAAGAAGAACACAAACCCACAACTGGGCAGACACAAACAAGCTGGAAGCCGCGGCGCTGTGAACGATGGGTGTCTGGGGTGTCTCCCCTGTCTTCCGCTCGGTTTGGGGCTTGGGGTGTCACCACAAAGACAACGACATCACAAACCCTCAAAACGAATCCACGAGAGAATTTGTTGCAAAGTTCACTCCCAGAACTTGTGGATCTGCTTTCCTTGGAACTACTCTCATCGAATCTCTTCAGAATGCGCAGCGCCAGGGCCAACTTTGCTTTGTCGGATAACCCGTACTAACGCCGTACAACCCCTGCCTCCCTCTCTCTCTATCTTTGTTTCTAGTGGGGTGCTTGGGTGCTTGGCTTAGTGGGTCAACCCAAACCCTAACCTCAAAGGTTCTCCAAACCATCACCTCCTGGGGAAGGTCCAAAACGTTTCAACACACCATGCTGATAGCCTGTGCGACACCAGTGACAACAAGAGTTGAAAGCACCTGACTACGCCAGTCACCCATTTATACAACATTCCAGCCACACTGTTCCAAACCTAGTGGCGCCCTTGGTTTCATTCGGTTTCGGCAACGTTCTTCATATGTCGCAGTTTCAGGTGGGAGGAGAAAGGAAAAAGGCAGACCTGCAGAGCTAACTTGAACACGTGGAAAAGGAATGTGAGACATGGAAGACAGTGTATATAACATGTTTTGATGAAAGCGATATCAGTAGGAATGGATTGCCTTCGCATGTGTCCCTTGAGGATAAGCAGAACTTGTCTGTGACCACATGGCGTGGGGAGATCCATTTGCGGAGTGCACGCTTGAAACAGGAGGTCGTGGTCACTCGACGACATGAGGGATGGGAAAGCTTCATTTCTTCAGGCTGAAGCTTTCAGGATCATATTTTTGAGCAAATCTCTGAGTGTGAGGCCTTTGCTATCCTGGCCTTACTACTAGGAGCAAGGATGCTACTAGGGGCTCCTGGCCTTACTACTAGTAACAAAGACGCTAGTAGGGGCTCCTGGCACATGGATGTAGCACACCAATTGGTTCACCCCTAAAGCATTCATCAGAATCAGACCCTTATGCATTCAATCTGACCCGACTCAAGCATGTCTGAGGAACTGCTGAACCTCCCTTTCCAACTCATTGTGGGCGAGGCCAGTGTCAATGCTTGCCATCGTTGTGTTTGGAACCAATTTCATGCACAGTTTCCTTGTAGTCTCATGATTCTCATGCAGAAGAGATGCTGAGCTTAGATAGGCCGCCGACCTGAAGATCAACGTCCCGTGGAACCGTCTTGGCAGTCGACCGGTTGGAACCTCGACCGGTTGAAACCTTTGACGTTTGGAACTGAGAAGTGGATCGAAGAGGATCGGCAATCGGCGGGCATCCAGGTGCAAGCTTCAGAATCTCCATTTCTCCATGATCCTTCTGTGAATTTCTTTGTTGCGTTCCTCTTGGTCTTTTTGAAATTCACTTTATGCCTCCTCAAAGAACAAGCGTTCTTGCTCCTGATAAGTTAGGACTTTAGTCCAAAGTCGACCTAAGTTACTGCCGTTACCCGACCAAGACACTATGTAGCATGTTCAGGTTTACGCGGCGCTCGCTGGCACTTGATGGTGACTTTCAGGTGGTGGTGGAGCTCACAGGCCTCCGTGTCTTGCTGGGCCCGAAGCCCGCCACTGAATGGTCTAACGAGGAGGAGCTCCGCCGTGTGCAGTTGGCCAGGCGCGATCCGCTCCGGATCTCCCAAAGGAAAGGGTGGACATATCACATGTCGTATCTGTATCAATCTTGTAATCTCTTGTTTTGGCTTCGGACACATGCTTTTCTGAGTGTGCTTTTTTGGAGAACTGCACACTCCAGGCAGAGGCTTGTGGACCGGGCTGATCTTCTTGGACCCGATGATCGAAAGGAAGGCCGCGCTGTTGTCGGCTGCGACTGCTGTGAATGCTAACCTATTAGCGATGGCCTCCAACCTAATAGCAATGGCTTGCAGGGTGCTGAGTGCCATTTGGAATCTTTTTCAAGTAATGCCAAGCTACCTGCGTTTCTTTTTCCGCAATGCAAGCAGGTTATCTTGGTCGACTGATCACGCGCATCAGTGACAACCTTGAGCTGCAACTGCGTGACTTGCACATTCGCTTTCAGGAGCAGTAACCAGACACACATGACATGTGTGTGGCAGATGCCACCAGAAGTGCTATAAGAGAGAATGCATGTGAACCGTAGTGAACCGTGGGTTTCCCGTCTTTACTTTTGCTTCAGTTTGACAGCAAGAGTTTCCTTAAATTGAAGAGAATGGCAAAGGTGAACGAAAGGCACATTTCGAATGGACACGCAACTCGAATCACAACTCGCTGATGTAGAAACATCGCATTTTCCATTTGTCTTTCACTTCAGGACGATTCCCCAGCGGCCGGGGGTCCGCCGGTCTCGGGTGGTTTGCATTTGGCCTCCCTGGAGGTGCAGAGTACAGGCGACGAAGCGAAGACGGATTCGACATGAAAACGGGAGATGGTCTAAAACGGTTGCGGAATGTTGCGGAAAGGAAGGTGACATGAAAGAAAGGACATTCAAAAAGAAAGCACAAGCGTCAGATTAAGAGTTGCTGTCCAGTAGGTTCTGAGGTGGATGGTGAACAGTTTATTTTTCACTGTTCGCAGTCTTTTTGTCATTTTGTTGTCATTGGTGTTTGTCACTTTAACGTCATTTTGTTTTCGTTTGTTGTTGCAGTTGCGTGCTTTGGGTTTAGCATGCTCCTCAAACGTCTTGAAACTTCAATAAAACAAGGACAGAAGCTGCCTTATTACACATCATTAAGATCATTTAAGATCTATCGATCACTTTCTCTTCTTCCCCAAAGACGACTTCTCCCCGGTGTCTCTCTGTTTTGCGGCGCCCGGTGTTTGTCCCGACGACGGTTCGGCGCCTGGGCGCCAAACGGAGTCTCGAGTTGGGCAGTCCAATAGCACTTGTTCCTAGTAGCGTCCTTCTTACTACTAGTAAGGCACCTGT